TGTCTGTATTGTGTCATTGTAAAAAAACTAATAACTGTCCAACACCTGTCCATTTGCCAGACGTGTCAGAAAGGTGTGCTGATCCGGCCATGTGATAGCAGTGCCCTGTGTCACCTGGCGTACGCACAGCTGGCCCGGTATGACGACGAACCGTCCACCGACGCGGCAGCACGCGCCCTCGCGAGACTCCCGCCCTCACCTTCCACACCTGCATCGGGCGTGGAGGGCAAACCTGTGGTGGGAGAACCACTGAACGAAATAACTGGTTGGTCTGACTCAGTCTGTTGTCTGCACATTCAGATTTAGGCTTTTTCTTCATTCTTCATATATACACCATGACACAATTCATCAAAGATATACTGAATACCAGAGAGCTATATGTCTACTTATAGCCATTAACACAGAATATTTCCATTCCTTTATAAAAGAAACAAACAAGCAGCCAATGAGCAGACAGTTTGTAAGCAAGAAACATAGTAGTTTTTCGTGCTTATCCCCAACAACACAACTACACAAGTCTTTTTCAACAGGTTATGGTGATTATATTGATCTGACACTTTTTGCACAGGCCAGCAGTGGTGGCAGGATAAAGTTGCTAAAGAGGAGGAGGAGAAAAAAGCAGCAGAGGCAGCCAAGAAGCCAGCTGGTGGAGCAGCTGCAGCACCTGCTAGAGGTGCTGCAGCACGGGGCAGAGGGGCACCAGCAGCAGCTGCAAGAGGAGGGAGGGGGGCAGCTGCAGGTCAGTAATGCAAATACCGGGTATGGTCTAGATGTTGGGAAGAACTACTTAATGAGAGGACTGATTCTGTGACCTGCACACTGTTCAGTGATACAAGTAGCTCAGCAGTGACAGTGGGTAACTGTTATTAAGTTGCTGTCCTTGGTGCTGAATGACATCCTGACACACAGATCCAATGACTTTTGCTTTTGTTTAATGCAAACATGTCAAACAAAACATAAACAGAGCTTTGGGTGAAGATGCTGTGATACATGTTAAGGTCAAAGAGTACAGTGGAGGTCAAGGTCAAGTGGTAAAGTTGAAAGTCAAATGCTCAAACAGGTACTTGAGGTGTCCATCAGCGAGTTTGTGATTCTTAACACGTATTCCTTTCTTTTATGCTTTGTTTTCTTCCTGTTGTTGACATTTCTGTTACTGATGTCATAGTGTTCTTACTAACCTGATTTTCCAGCTTCTCCTGTTGGGAACCCAAAGTCTGTTCCTTCCCCCTCTCCTTCTCCCAAACCTGGCACCCCAGCAGGGAGAAGTGCTGCCGCCGGGAAAAGTGCAATATCAGCAACCAAACCTGCCTCTGTACAGAAAGGTGCCACCTCCATCTGTCAACTAGAAAATGATGCAGACAAATTATGGAAAGCATGCTGAGAAATAAACATCATTTCAAAGCTGAAATGGTTAAAATGGGTGTTAATGGTGGAGACTTAAATGATCTGGAATAGTTTGTCTTGAAAATCAATTGAATACCTTGGATTGCATACAACTAGGCTGTGCATAAAGTTGGGAACATATTTTTAAACATTTCTGATGACTCTGATTTCCAGCTACAAGTTCTACAGCGTCCACCTGCTCTGCCAAAACAAATACGTCTTCATCCAAAACGCCAGCCGGGCGAGGTGCAATATCGACAACAAAGTCCTCCACAACACAGAAAGGTGTCAACAGATCAGATGTACCCACAGACTTAGCTAAAAACTGCTAAAGCATGCTCCAATCACAAACTTCTGCCAAGGCAACTTGTTTGAAATTTCTGCATAAACATTGCCAATGATAAACAGATGAACCTATCAAAGTGTTGCAATGGTAAAACATGGATCTCTTGGCAGGAGTAAATGATTCAATGGCAAAAAATGTTCAGGCTAGCCAAAGCACTGCATGCATATCAAAAACAGAGAGCTAACTGAAAGATAGTTGCACAATAACAGTAGGAAACTGCACATGCACCACAGATGAACGTCAAGTCTCTGCTTATGGCACAGAATGGGCATATAGATGTTTCAACAATGTTAACTTTGTCAAATTTGCCAGCCCCTGCTAGGGGAAGAGGTGCTCCCGCTGCCAAGGCTGCCCCACCCTCCAGGGGAGGTGCTGCCAGGGGTGGGGCAGCGGGTAAAGCTCCAGCCCCAGCCAGGGGAGGCGCTGCAGTCAGGGGAGGGGCTGCCAAGCCGGTGGCGGTGACCCCTGCGGCGGGGAAACCTGCGGGCAAACCTGAGGAGAAACCTGCCACACCCACCCAGGCACCAGGTCAGGGTTAGTTCCTTGTTATTCCTGAATGGTACTCATGTGCAATATTATGCATCTATCTCAAGCAACCATGCATGATCATGTGCCTGTGTTATGATCAATATACACACTGAAATCCGACAAGAGACTATCTATGTTGTTGTTGAAGATAACTTAAGGGCTAGATTTACCTACCTGTAAATACACTTTTGAAAGCCTTAGAAAGTTAGTATGATGCCAAAACACAGCAAACAATATGTTTCCCACCAGATGATAAATACTTCTTCCTCCTCCTTCCAGAGCCAGAGAAAGCCCCTGCACCGATCCCTGCCAACACTCCACTCAACAGGTCCAGCTACCGTCCGCGGCTGGGCCTGGCCAGGGCGCTGGCTCGCACAGACGACACCATCGACGACGCCAAGAAGTGGTACAACGAGGTCATGACTATGGCACCTGAGGTCAGCCTCACGTTTACTCACCTTTTGTTCGCTCATATTAGGTACCATATTCATGCCTCCTGACAATGTTCATGCTGAAAAGGTTGGATACTCCATTCGTAAACAATCAAATGGCAATGAAGCTCTTGAAGAAGTTGAAAGGGTTGTCCCCATGTCCATGCCAAGAGAATGTTATTATGAAGACAGAGAGTCAGAATTCTCTTCCTGTTGTCTTATATTAGGGACAGCACGATATTCCACCACATGCAGGTGTAGACAGTTGGACAATGTATAATGGTAATGATGTTATTCACCTTTTCCCCTATAGATCCATGACGCATACATAGAGCTAGCAGACATGCTGATCAAGGCAGAGCCCCTAGCGGCCGTGGACGTGTACTGCAAGTTCCCGTTCCCTGAGGAGCTCACCTTTGACGATGCATACATCCACGGCGAGATCGTACGGATCCTGATGAAGCATGAGAAGTTTGATGACCCCAGGCTAGCTGACAGCATGATTGCGTTTGGGAGGGTCATGGGCATCAGTAAGTCTGTTTTGTTTGTCGTCTAACTGGCAGAAAAGCAGTTATCTTATGCTATCTCATTGTTTCTAATTTTTTTCCATACTGTTTGGTAACATATTGCACTTTTAGATCACCATGGTTTGAATCAAGCCTTCAGAGTTTTGGACTATGCACACTATTGGTAGGAGTTGCAGCAGTGGACAGGGAGTGTTGTAAGCCATCTGTCTGAGTTTCAGAAAAGCCACACTTTGAGCATTTCCATGCTTTTAAAAAAGAGTATGGGTATACCATACTTCTTTTTTTTAAGAATACACATCATTCTTAATTCATAATTTAGCCTGAGCTTGGATGGATCTTTCATTCCAAAACTCAGATGGCAAAGAATCATGTTTCTCCATTTTTTCCAGCAACCCTTGACAAGTATGTGGGCATCCTTGATGCCAAGTACAAGACAACCATGCTGAAGAAGATCTACGCAGGGGTCCATGGGAAGGATGTGGACGACCCTGACCTTCAGGCATTCTTCAAGTTCAAGTGTTGGGACTGATCCTTCCAGACGCGGATCTAAACTGCTAGTCAACAGATGAGCAGCCAAAAGCCATTGGTCATTGACATCATTGGAAGACCTTTATGTGTAGGAAGAAGTGTTTGAATTTGAGGCCTTGGGTTGTTCAGATATGCTGCAAGAGAGTCAAAGTACCGGTAGTGGTGGTGGTGAAGAGTATTCCGTCCTTTAGTTTTGAGTGAATAGCACAGATGTTTGACTCTTGCTTTTAACTCCGTCCAAAACAGGGTGCTTTGGGGAATATTTAACTTTCAAACATTGAAACAGTGCCTGTGCTTAAGGATTTAAGACTAGAGTGCATTATACTGTAAGTTATAAGAGTGGAAGATTATACATAACTGTTGCTTCTGTCTTATCGGTGCAAACTAGCCACTGATGTTGTTATCCATAGAATGTACACTTCTATGGAACTAGCCATATATAATGACATGTACCAAAATTTGAACCACATTACAGTATTTCCATAGTTACTGTATTACCGGTACTACTGGTATTACTGTAAAAAATTAGAAGCAGATTTGAATGATTCTTGGTGTTTGTATTCAGTGGTTGAAGTTGTAGAGTAGGGTATTTTGTGGTCAGTTTATAATGTATGATAACTTTTTTTTATTTTTGTAGCTCATGCGGTTGCATATACAGACGAGATAATAGAGAATATAATAGTCATTTATTGATGTTTTCAATAAATTCTGCAAAAGAAAGTTGTCCAATACTGCATTATGCAAGATATGCAACATTGAATATTACCGGTAGAGATCTTTTCTAGATGTTTCTACTTGTGTAACTAACACAGACATTCCAGCATTTTTGGGGGTAGTAGTAGTGAAGTTGAAGTTATCAAAGGACCTCCAGGAGATCTTAACTTTAAGCCCTAGGGCTACAATACTGCTGGTTTTTAAAATACTGTTAAAGGAACATATTGCAAAGCCCAAAACTTATTATGACATACATGATCAAAACTTGTGCATCAGTAGTAGCAACTTGGCTTATGGCTTGACCAACTCCACAGCCCTATCATTTTTTAGTAAAAATGAGGTATGGGAACCCTGATTCTTACTCCCTCAAAATTGTGCATCATGGTACAAATTTTCTTCTCAGGCCCAGGTTTTATCTCTTGTAAAAGTTCAGCATTTTGTACTTACAAAATTCTATCACCGATATATATATGTATCTATATATATATAGAGAGAGAGAGAGCACAAACTGGTGAGGTTGAATGTACACATCTTCAGCTACTATCATCTCAGAACTCCATGTGCGTATTTCCTGGCTGCTATGATGGCGGTTTGCGTGCCAGCTGGGTTTTCGCCTGCAGCTGTTGCCGACTTCTCATCTCCCCGCCCCTTTGCCTTGATCTCTGACATCACCTGGTCCAGCCAGGTGCGGGCCTCCAGGCCTCTGGACGCCATCACCTGCAGGAAACAGTTCTTGTAACTTTCTTAAAGTGTCCTTTTTAGTTTCTTCCACTAAGAGTGTGGTCTCAGTTTTTTTAATTCAGTATCCTTTTTAGTTCTTAACATGTCACAAATGTTCAACATCACTTTGTCCAGCCAAGTGCTGACCTCCAGTCTCAAACCTGTATATACTGTACATGGCCTTTATCATTAGTAAAAACAGTAAAGGTATAGCTAACGTTAATCATCTAGATTTTCTATTCTGATGTGTAGTTTACTGACCTCAGGCACCTTACACGCGACCCTGACTGAAGCTGCCCTGGTGTCTGTACCAAACAGCATGATGGGTGTGTCTGGTGCCAGCTCACTGCAGAGTCTCACCAGCGTACGCAAAACCTACAAAACAAAAACATAGAGAAACATCAGTTACAAGCCCTTGGTTTTTATATTGAATAAACTATTCTCTCTCTCTCTCTTGGTTCATATTCTATAAACTTATCCATATAAGTTCATGCATGTGCATATCTGCCGATCTTAAAACTGCATCTAAAGAGATCTCCAATGCAGCATCCCCCAGTATAATGTAATCCTGTACACCAAAACTGTGTATACCTGGGGTGCTGCACAAGAGATCTCTCAAAAACACTGTTTTTTAAACTGGGGGACATATCGGTATGTAACCCAGTGGATAAATGTTTATGGAGGTTATAAAGCATAAAACTGAAACTTTAAAGTGAAGAGTAGACCAGAGTTGGTACCTTAAGGTTTGGTCCTAGTCCCGTGTCAGTAACAAGAACAACATCTCCGTTTCTGTCCACCAGGCTCTGGGCAACTCTTTCCACCTGTGGAACAAAAGCACAGAATTATGTAAATGTTGTAAGATTTAGAGTAATGTTTCCGTTCAAAATACACAGATTGAATTATCATTGGGCTTTTACAACTCACTAAATGATTTATAGTACTAGTATATGCTAACTTGGAATCAAAAAATGCCTTTATGTACGCTTCCACATCCCTTCTTGAATGCAGAATGAATATTGATGATAAACATACGTTTTGCTTCTGCAGTTTTTTCACGACTCTGTTGGCTTGACTCTGCAGCCGATCCAGGTTAACCTGCAGTTCCAGCCTCTTCCACAAGGGGAGGTTAGCTGTATCTACCCTCTGTAAGGGACAAATGTTGGTAGATATTACATTTGTACATCTATTGCATGACTATATATGTATATTGAACAACAGTATCTTTATTTGTCAAGCTGCAAAACTGCCCTGAAACTGACATAACATAATTTTGCAGATATGTAGCAGAAGCTGGTTACATAAGTAAGAAACAACACTGCCTACCCTGATCAGCTTCCCAACATCCCTATAAACCTCCTCCATCTCCGTAAGTGAAGATGTCTCCCCATTTAAGACCACCTGCTCCAGAGTCTTAGCTCTCTCCTCTAGCTCAGCACCAGTCTTTCTTGCCTGCAAAGAGAAAAAAACAGGGCGTCTTCAAACTAGAGAAATGTATTTGTCAATTTTTGAGTTATCAATATCCAATTAACTAACCAACCAAAACTGGTGAATTGACTGCTTTATTGGTAGAGATAACTAAGCAGGGAATCTTGTAAAAAAACTCACACAACTTATGGGAATCAAACCCCTGACCCTTGAACTTGAATCATAAGCTTCAGCTTTAATTTCAGGCAGAAAAAAGGTTTGAAAACTTCTGATGACTCCACAACATGAGAATACATGATACCCACTTCCAGAGCCTCGCTCCCCGTGATAGCTATAATCCGACGTGATCCTATCTCGTTTCTTCTCTCGTAGCTGATAACAAAAGCTTCGATAGATGCTGTGTTGTGAACATGCCTGGAAAGACAAACAGAAAGGCCAGATTATATAGCAAAGACACAAGTCTGACTCCTCGTCTTTTTCAGGGTATTGTTTATTTGTGACCTGGCAGAAGTACATGTATACATAGTATATACTAAACATTTACTTTTCTCTGGATCAGGCATATACAGACACAGTTCACCCTAAATACAAAACTTCAGTACTAACGTTCCACAGCAGAGTTCAACTGAGGTCACACATGCAGCTCCACTAGATGGGTTTGTCACCAGTTCCTCCACAGGGGTTCCAACAGACACAACTCTCACTGGGTCAGGATACTCCTGAAAATAGACAAACAAAACAAATCAACAAACTTGAGTATCATATTTTCACATTGCCCACCCAGGGTACATGTACTGCTGAAAAGTATACTTATACTACAGTGAACTCAAAACAAATGTTACAGTTAGTGTGTACCTCATCCATGGTCCTGATGCCCTCCACCTGTTTAGCCTGGTTTAGAGACACCTCCCTGGAGTAGACACACTGTTGTCTGTCCACCATGGCCTGTACTGTCTCTTCTACTCTCTTCAGCTCCTCTGGGCTGGGCAGACTCTGTACAGGGGGAGATGTCATCATAGCTGGTGTGACTAATACCAATCACTGATAGTCTAACCTTGATTTCTTGTATAGATGCCCTTCTTAAATGATGGTAACAACAGGCTCTTGTTAAATTTAATTTTAAAAAAAGAGCATGGGAAAAACGATAACACCAGCCGCAGATGATGTATCAGAGTCTCAAGAACCTCACCTTTACAGAGAAGTCGAAGCGGAGCCTGTTGGGTCCGACGTGCGAGCCTCGCTGCTCACACTCCTCCCCCAGCACCTCCCGCAGGCCGTGGTTCAGCAGGTGGGTTGCCGTGTGCCTCTGCATACACCCCAGCCGACGCTCCTGTTAACACAGGCCAGTTTAGCTGTTACTCACTCACTCACTCACTCATTTGTTCTTTTGTTCCTTCCTTTCTTCCTTCCTTTCTTTCTTCCTTCCTTCATCCATCCATACATCCATCCATCTGTTTATACATTATTTTACTGTCCCCCTCTCTCCCTGGTCTTACCTGATCTATGTTGAGCTGTACTGTGTCGTCCACTGTGAGGGCAGTTTGAGCTTGTCCCTGGTGCAGAACGTATCCTCCACACACCTGCACGCTTTCAGTGGTGAACACCACAACCTGCCAGGGAAACAACCTGTCATGTCACATCAATCAATCAGAGCAGTTTATACCTGTCTCTTATATATATGGAGCTAACTTAAAAATTGAGGCATGTAACAAGTTCCTCTACCTAAGTTACCTACATGCATATTCATTCATTATCCTGTTTTATACTATAGTAACCAACAAAAAAGACACCTGCACTTATAAAAAAAGCCACTAGTGGGCCCAAATTTAGCCTAAACCTAACTTATAATGTTTTAAACTTTGTGTAAAGATAAGAATGAAAAAGCATTAATCATGATAAAAAGTTTACCCCATTTTTGGTCATGTTTCCCTGGTCGCTCTCCTGTCCACCTGCCTCTGGGTAGAAACACGTCCTGTCCAGGATGACAGAACAGACATCACCTCGTCCCACACTGTCTACCAGCTGTCCTGCCTTATACAGGGACAACACATGTCCTTCTGGGGAGGGGAACTCTGGGAAAAACAAACAAACAAAGCAATCAGATATACCAGGTTTCAGACTTTGAATAAATAAATAGATTTCACCTCACTCACAGAAACAGACAAGCCAAAAATAATTTCATGTTAAACAAGGGCATCTACCGTAACTGATTAGAGATTAAAACAAGGGAAATTGTAGATTTCAAACCTCCGTTTTTTTTGTGTTCTATTGGTTTAGATTATTTGTTTGTGTGTAGTATGAAAGTTATGTGCGTAATATGTTTGTATGTGTTTGATGGCTACTGACGGTTGGTTTGGTATGGACTGTTGATTAACGTGTCTCACAGTCTGACAGCCTGCACCGTCACCCGCGCCATTACCCCCGCCGTCATCCCGCGCCGTCATTGCTGCGCCGTCACCCAAAATTTTTATCGGAACCAGACACCCCTCTGTTTGACCCCTTTTGAATGCTAAGACCCAAAACTGCAACCGCCCCATTCCTTAACAACATGGTAATTACCATTTTCAGCATGGCGGGGGTGTCCGGAGCACTTAAAAACCTTTTATTTCGACGCCCATAAACACATATGCAATTAAACAAAAACGTTCTGCATCATCTGCAGCCCAATAGCAATACGTATACCGAACCACAGACAAATCCGTCCAGCCGATCGCGAGAAACAGCTGCTGACAGAAATGTTTCGAACCATAGTAAAACCTCCTCGCGGAAGGATATCTCCTTCCCCGGAGGTAAAAATCAGTATCTTCAGTTATACTGAAAAATGAATAATGGAATGTCTGGCATGCTAGTATTTTATCAAAGCATTAGATGACAGACATGCTTACAGTACTGACCATATTTTCCTGAGTCTGTGAGCCTGTACTTGTACTTCAGTGAGTTGTCAGTAGGGGGCACTCCTAAGGCTTGTAGCTGCTGAAGACTGTGGGCATCAAGGGTGGGCACCTGAGCGATCTGCAGACCCTGCGTTTTTTTCTGGGAACGAAAACATAATTTCTCAATCTTGGGGCAGTTTTGGATTCTGTAGGAGAGGAAAGGAAAGAAGCGCCATTCAGATTTTAAGACTGTGGTCTGAAGGAAGGAACAAAGGGAGGAGGATAGATATGAGAAAAACATGAAAAAGACAAAAGGAGGTTACCTGCAGGGCTTCCCTCTCTATCCTGCTGTACTGTTCCATGTCCATCCTGAAGCCCCTGTTACTCACCATGGACTCTACCATGTCTGTGGGGAGGCCCAGGGAGTTGTGGAGAAACCAGCCAACCTCAGCTGCCAAAAATCAACATTAGTAGAACAATCAGAAAGAACCTTTCACAGAATGTACAAAATAACTTTGCCAAAAAGCCTCACAAACTACTAGTATACTTTACGGATAAAATGTAAACAAGGCATGATTCTAGTCAAACACAGGGCCTCTAACTTAACAAAGTTCTTTGTACACCACTGGTTCTACTCCAAACTACATTGTCCCTGCTGCAGTGTGAAGAATTCCATCCCACATGTGACTGAGTTTCCCCCTTATCTCATCACTATTTTCAGACATGCTATTGCCGCCACACATACCTGGAAATAAGGTTGATTTGTCCATTTTTCTTACTGTCTTAGACATGAGTTTCTTCCCTTTCTCAAGGTTGGACAGGAAGAGTGCCTCGTCTTCATTGATAGTATCCATCACCTTCTCCTGACTGGAAACAAGTTCTGGAAATGCTTCACCCTAAGAAAAGGACAAAAAATGAATGAATTCATTCATTCA